CTGGGTGCTGTCCCTCAGCTCTTCAGCTCAAGGCAAGCGCTCTACCACTTGAGCTACAGCGCCACTTCCAGTTTCCTGGTGGTATATTGGAGATAGGAGTCTCACGGTCTTTCCTGCCCGTGCTGGCTTTGAACCGCGATCCTCAGATCTCAGCCTCCTGAGTAGCTAGGATTACAGGCGTGAGCCACCAGCGCCCGGCGTGATAGGAGACTTTTATATCAAACACTAAAATATACAAACTTCTAACATTTAGTTTTTTGTTTTTGCAAAAGGGCTATTTTCTATTATAAGTTAGCTTGATGGCCTCTGACATTCTTCACAGTTCTTTATATCTAAAGGTATGTTATTTTGTACAAATCTCTGTATCTGAATTCTTTTATCTAAGATCAGAGATTAATATCTTTTATTTAATAAATGTGATGCAGGTAATATATTAAAAGACATATAGTGGAAGCTTTAATCAATTGAAAAATAACCCAAGACAGAATGTAAAGTGGATGGATCTTATTTTTGATCCAATCTGCTATTCTTCTTCTTTTGATTAGAGAATTGGGTCCTTTAATATTAAGGTTTATCGGGGCTGGGAAGGTGGCTCAGTGGTAGAGCACTTGCCTTGCATGCATGAGGCCCTGGGTTTGATTCCTTAGCACCACATAAGCAAAAAGAAAAAAGCCGGAAGTGGCGCTGTGGCCCAAGTGGTAGAGTGCTAGCCTTGAGCTGAAGAGCTGAGGGACAGCACCCAGCCCCAAATTTCAGGCCCCACAACCGGACCCCCCAAAAAATATTTAGGTTTATCACAGGAAGATGTATCGTTTCCTGTCATTTTCTTGTATTTTTTCCCTCTTCCTGTGCTTACTAAATTGACTCCCTTCAGAAGTCTTTGTAATGCTGATTAAGTGATCATGAATTCCTTTAATGTTTGTTTGTCATGGAAATTTTTTTGGGGGGGGGTCTGGTCGTGGGGCTTGAACTCTGGGCCTGGGCGCTGTCCCTCAGCTCTTCAGCTGAAGGCTAGCACTCTGCCACTTGAGCCACAGCGCCACTTCTGGCTTTTTTCTTTTTGCTTATGTGGTGCTGAGGAATTGAGCCCAGGGCCTCAGGCAAACAAGGCAAGTGCTCTACCATTGAGCCACCTTCCCAACCCTGTCATGGAAAGTTTTAGTTTCACCATCTAATGTAAATAATAGCTTCACTGGGTAGGGTCAGTCTGGGCTGGCAGTTGTTGATATTCAGGGCTTAGATTATACCATGTCAGGCTCTGCTTGCTTTGAGGGTTTCTGTGGAGAAGTCTTCAGTGATTCTGACTTGCTTTCTATTGTAATATATAGTTCTTTAATCTTGTGGCATTTAAAATCAGTTCCTTGCTATTAACGTCAGTTGTTTTTTATTTTGATGTATTTAGAAGTGTTTCTTGGATCCCATCTCCTGGGAGTTCTATCTGTCATTTAGTGTCATTGTTGAATTGAACTGTAGGATACTTATCTGATATCAGAGAATTGTATTATTGGATGTTGTTTCAAAAAAGCACATAATCCTCAAATTTTCCTATGAAATAACATTGTGTTGTAATGTTTGTTCTTGCAGAATGACAAACTCTATATGACAAAAACCTTACAGTGAAACTCAGCAATAATTTTATTTTTCAAATTTTTTATTGTGATTAAGTGATTACATAATTTCCCAAATTTCACAGTATTGTGGGATAGTGATGCTTAGTTAAAGTCACAAACACATTCTAAATTTCATAGGACAGATTGTCTGTCATGGTCTATAACATTTATGAGTTCTGTGAGCTTTGACAATACAGTTATTTCTTCCACATTGGGTGGGTGGTATGTACATTTCTTTTGTTTTGTGTGTAGCATCAGCTGTTCCCTCTTTCCCACTTGTTCCCTCCCTCCCATCGCTGCCATTGAGTTGCTTAGTTCATTTTGGTCAATGTCCAGTGCAGCTGATGGGTCCCGCTGTTGTATGTTTTTCCCTGATTCCCTCTAGTTCTGTATCATCCTCCTGGTTTCCCTCCGGTGTGCACATATATACCATGTGTGTGATCAGCAGCATGGGGTTATTTAGTAGTGATTCCACCAGATGAGCGGAAGTCCTTTGTTTCTTAAGTCCTGTTAATTTTGTCATATCACCTAACATTTTGGATTTAACATCCACTTATCAGGGAGACCATGTGCTGTTTGTCTCTTTGCTCTTGGCTTACCTCGTACAACGTGATTTCTTCTAGCTCCATCTATTTCCCTGCAAATGCCATTATTTTGTCATTTCTAATGGCTGCATAATATTCCATTGTGTATAGATACCACAATTTTTAGATCCATGCATCTGTGGTGGGGCATCTGGGTTGTTTCCATATCCTAGCTATTGTGAACAGTGCTGCAATAAACATGGAGGTTCATGTGTCCTTGTATACTGGTTCCTGTTGTTCAGGGTAGATGCCTAGAAGTGGTATGACTGGGTCGTAAGGGAGGTCAATCTTTAGCTTTCTAAGGACCCTCCAGACTGCTTTCCAAAGTGGTTGTATAAGTGTACATTCCCACCAGCAGTGTAATAGGGTTCAGCAATAATTTTAAACTAGCATGATTTTGATTATAATGGCAATATATTTGGTGGAAAAAGAAGTTGAATAGAGACCATAAAAGTTATTTAGTAAATCCAGGCCAGGCACGGGCCACACACACCCAGACAAGGGTGTGGGCACTGGGTAGAAGCAGCTGAGCCTCCTTCCAGCAGGGATATTTATAACATGTAGAACAGGGCACTGGGGTTAAGCATTCCTTTAGCTAAGTGCTTCTTTGCCCTGGGTGCCAGGTCTCGGATATCCCCAGCATTCCTGTTGCAACAGTGTTCTGACATGATGAGTTCGGCCGACCCTTGACATCTGAGATGCTAATTTGAGGGTGGCGTTTGGTGACTTTTAATGACCACCTTTTGGCTCAAAGTAGCAGAGAGGGCCAGGCAGTTTTCTGGAGGTGTGCCTGGCAGATCCCTAGGGCACAAGGACTAGACCTGAGAGCAGGGTCATTCAGTCTGGAGGAAGGCCATCTTTTCTGACTCTTGTTCAGTGAAGGAGTATGAAGATGAAGAAAAGTGTGTGCACTTTTAAACAGGTGAACAGGGATACAATGTCTATTTCTTCTTTCCTTTCCCTTCCCTCCCCTTCCCCTTATTCTCCTCCCCCCCCTTTCCTTTCTTCACAGGAGGTAGAGATTGGGAGGATGAAGGTTTCGGAGCATCTCAACAAACAAGCTAGAGCCCCTCTGAGGCTGCCACAGAAAGTGGAGTTCGGAGGATTCCCGTCTGAGGTTGGCCCTCCACAAGCTGAGATGCTAGACACAAAATGATTTAAAAAGGGCCCCCGGGCCAGGGCCCACTGCTCGGGTGATACAAACTTGTCCAGCAGGTGTAGGGTCCTGAGTTCAAATCCAGTACGGCTACCCAACACGACCACGACAAAAGCCGCCTCCCCCCCAACTTAGAGATAGCAGACCTTAGTTTCAAGTGTAAACCTGAGCTGATGAAACATGATTTGGGCCTTCCGGTTACTTTTCGGGTGACTAATGATCTTCACAGGAAATGAGGACATAGGGTCCACGTGGGATCAGGACAGGGGAGTGGTGTCTGCTCCAGAGCGTCCCCTTCCCGCCGGGCTGCTGGCCCGGCCTGTCCTGGGGTGGAGGGATGGCCGACCTGCTCCTTTGCACCGCCCCCCCCCCCCAGCGGGACAGTGTGGTTGGGACGGGGCGGCCGGTGCTCCGGCCACGCGGGGGTTCTCCGGGCTGCTCCATCTTCCCGTTTTCACCTGGCGAAGGGCGCTGCACACAGGGGACCCCGAGTAGTGGGGGGGACCCGGGCGGTGGGGGGACCCCGGGTGGTGGTGGGGACCCTGGGCCGGGGGGGGACCCCGGGCGGTGAGGGGGGACCCTGGGTGGTGGTGGGGACCCCGGGTGGTGGTGGGGACCCTGGGTGGTGGGGGGGACCCCGGGCGGTGGGGGGGACCCCGGATGGTGGGGGGGACCCCGGGCGGTGGGGGGGACCCCGGGCGG